AATTGCTTGATATCAGATTCATAAGCATAGCAGATCAGATAGCAGATGGTTTCACAAAGCCACTGTCGGCAGCCAAGCTACAGAGTTTTCGGTTCAATCTCAACCTCAGAAGTGGCTGAGATTGAGCGGGGGTGTTAGATGATATAGGTTGTTGGGCCATGCGCCCGCGTTGCCGTGTATCACGGCATGTAATCTTGGCTGTTACTATAACTTGTATGCTAAGTATAGAATAGATTAGATTAGATCAAGGTGTATCAATCTGTTGTAAACCATTCCATGTAAGTGCCACAGCAGGGGCTCTTCCTGTCATATATATATATATATATAACAAGGAGCCGACAGACCGGAGAAGGTCATCTCGTTCACCCTATTTCGTTTTTCAGGCCTAGCAAACCAATACAGCACAGAAAATTTTGCACCCATTTGGCGACTCGGAGACTAACGCGCAGATCGATTTGGATCGAACCAGCGGGAACCAAAAGGTAAAAAAACCAATCAATGAAGTCAGAGACGAGGGTCGACCAGTGAGCGAAGAACTCGACGAGCGCGAATGACACCGGTAAGGCCTGGAGGAAGGCGGTGAGGATGGACGCGTCCCCGTCGAGGTCCAAGGCCATGTAGACGGCGAGGGCGAGGGCGAGGGCGCAGGGACGCCGCTCCGCCTCCGCCGCGGAGATGCCGCGCGCCGAGGCAGGGCAAGGAGCAGCCGGCGACGGCGAGGGCGAGGGCGCAGGGGTGGCGGTTCCTTGGAGCGAGACGAGCTGCGGAGCTGTGCGTCGTGCATGGGCGGCGGCGTTGGTTCTCGCGCGAGACCATCCAGGTTGTAGAGAAAGAGATTAGTAAGTGGGATCACTGGAGCTGGAGGCGTTTTTATTGACTGCAATTCTCTCGATCGGGGAGCTCCATGCGGGGACACTCGCATGGGCACAGAGATGCTCTCGTATCTGACGTCACCTACGATCGTTACCACACGCGCACGGTAATACCTGAGCAAGAACACATGCAAGCAGACTGTAGAAGGGTCCAGAAGGTTTCGTTGACGTTAGCTTCGTGTTGGGCTGACCAATCGAAGTAATCTAGTCCAAAACAACGCAGCGTGCAAAATTTCCTAGAAAGTCTCCAACAAGGCATCCGTGTTAATTATTAGAGAGCCTCCAACCGAGCATCTACGTTGATTATCATGAGATGCGTTTCAAAAAATCGTAGAATTCTTTTTAAAGAAACATTCGGTCTTCGATTTAGTAGATTCAAATAATCATCAAAAGTAATAGCTATTTGATCTATTATTTTTTTTTAAAAAAATTACCCATCTCTATCCCTATAAAAAGTTCATTAAGTAACCCTTAGATTTGCATATAAATTACCCACAAATATCATTATAAAAGATAATTAAAATAATCCAAAATTTATATCTATTCAATTTTACCATTACGAAAGACAATGCAAAATAAACCCTAAATTTACTTTTATATTACCCAAATCTTCCATTACGAAAAATATACAAATGTAATTATTTTATTTTGTATCTAACTTATCCGCCTCTATTCGATATTAACTGAGGGAGTTTTTGGGTACTCACCTATGCTAGTATATGTACGTGAGTGGGTGAGGTCTAGTCGATGGCTTGCATGTACATGCAAGAGACGACACTGCAATAGGGACAGTACTTTTGGTGAGCATACGCACCACTGCTAGATGAAGAAACCTCACCAGCTTGATATTATTTTTCTAAAGCAACAAGTGCTAAAACATGATTACTATAAAGTTGAAATTTTATTTTATTTTTCGAGCGTCTTAATGACCTGAAATGTACAAAGTCAACTATAAATTTGTAGATCTCATTTAAAGCTATAACTTTGATGAAAAAGTATCTTCGTTTAACACCATATAAAAAGATATTATTTTTCTAATACGACAAGCACTAGTGCAGGATTATTATGCTCCTAAAATTTTGTACTATTTTTTGAGCATCTCAATGTCCTTAAATGAAAAAAAACAAAACTATAAAGTTATAGATCTCGTTGAGATCTATAATTTTCATATAAAGTTCATCTTCATCCGACATATTATTGAAGATTTATGATTTCTTTAAAGTTGAGTCTTGTCACGCCACTCTGGGTGGCACGACAGAACAATACTGTCACACAAACGAGAGTGGCGTGACAAGGTTTTCCATGTCAGAAACGTTGTCTAACATGACAAATGTTACCGTGCCATTGCATGTGGCGCGACAATGTTATTTGTTCGTGCTAAGGCACTGGCGCGACCAAAAGGGTCAGATCCATGGAATTTTTAGAAATGATTAATATTAAAATATTGAATAAAAAAGATAAAAAAAAATCCGCTACTAGAGCGTTCAAGCGTGCACTCGCCAAAATTGCAATTTTTAAATCTCTGTTAGTACGGACACATGGGCCGTGTTCGGCTGGCACTTTTTTTTTTGCTGAATTGCAGCTGTGGCTGAATCATCCAACCAATAAGCTACAGCCAGCAGCAGCAGCATTCAGCCAGCTGGTGACCAGAACCAAGATTCAAATGATAGTCAAGCAATTCAAATTTTGGTGCCAACCCAACATAAATACAAAAGTTGGCCCCAATTGACAACCAAGTCAAACAACAGTAAATGACAGTTCCAACACACAACCTCCACTAGCATTTTCTTAAGAGCTACTAACAGTGGATTACAACTACAAATCACTATTACATTACACCTAAGAGGTCCACACAAGCCATTACAATTACGGTCCCATACAAAGTTCCGAATTACATGTACAGACATCACATACTACATAGGTCTAAAGTCGTGCAGTGCAGATTACAGTACCATTACAACATTCTCTACATAGGCATGACTGGAACATGTACAAAAATTGTAGTCATTCGAACGAGCTACATATTGGACTGCAAGAAGAATAGAGGCATATACCAAAACCTCCATCTGCACCCTTCTCTTGGTGCCATCGTCAACTCCAACCACACCACGACCTTACTACTACACCATCACCTGCATTATCACATAATCGAATAGCAATGAAATTGCAGACACATACCGTTGAACTTGTAACACAACTTCAACAATGCAACACCCAAAAGTGTCATACCTGCCAAGATACCAAAGGCGATCCAATCTCGCACATCAGACATATCATCACTAGCATTTGCTGCCACCCATGTGTGGCGTCGTAATCTGCATCTCTTTGCCAGATCCTCTGTGAAGCCCTTCCTTCGCCGTGTTCCAACTCCCAATTGTGCAGCGCAAAGCATGCAATGATAAGCTTTGTTTGCTTCACTCTCTCAAAATACGGAACTAGGCCGAGAATGTGTCACTTGCCTTTGAGTCGCCCAAATGCCCATTCGATGACATTGCGCAGACTTGAATGGCGGAAGTTAAATTGCTCCTCATAACTTGTAGGAGCTGCGCTGTCCCTGAACTCATCAAGATGGTACCTTGCATTTCGATAAGGGTCCAAATATCCTTTTTTCACGGCGTATCCCGAGTCGACCAGATAGTACTTTCCTGCAAAACAACATATATCTCCACCATTACTTACACACATATCACAGCAAGTATCCAAGCAATCATGTACAGCTGAAAACTAACCTTCTGCTAGGTGCGGATAAGTTGGTGTCTCCAAACACTCTGTCGGCACCGACATGTCATGACTGGCTCCCGCCCTCCCCGCACCGACATATGTGAACCTCATGTCCAGGTCACATATGTCTAACACATTGTAGCTTGTATAGCCTTTCCTATTTATGAAGTCCAATTTTGACTAACGACTGACAAGAGCTCGAACGTGAGTCCCATCTAGAGCCCCTATGCACCCATCAAAGTAAGGTGCACATGGCAACAGGTCTCCATGTACTTTTCTAAACTCCGGATCCTTGGGACAAATAACATACTGTGCCAATGAGAACAAGCAATTCGCAACATGACCCATCTTCCTACTAACTGTGTCCAAGGACCGGTCAAATCTCTCCCTAACCTATCTATACGGCGTCACGACATGCACAAATCCGGATAAACATAGCTAAAGCTTCCCTAGACCCAAGTTCTTGTGTACTTTTGAGGCCATGATCTCTCACTAAGGTATCACGCAACCTAAGGAATGCGTCCGGATACACACGGAAGTTGTCATAGCACTTAAGTCGGCTGCGCAAATTCAATTCAACCCATTGCGCACCTGGGGGCTCGGGCAAAGCGATGTGAGGATTCACGTGAACAGGTTCATTAGCACGCAGTGCCTCTCGTGACACGCGTTGCAACCGCGGCTCCAAGCACCACCAACTAGAGAACGGCATAGTTGTCATCACTTGAACTATCGTTCTCGCTGCAGTCATCAACGCTGTGCATCCTGCAAAGATCAAATGAGTTAGTGACTTCTCAAATTAAACAGCAGCAACAGGCAGTTCTTCGACAACAAGAAATGGAAACGAGAAATTATTGTAGACAGTGGCTTCTGATCAGACAATTGCACTCTTCAGAAACAAAATCCAAATGCTATAGAGAAGAGTATTTACATTTGAGCAGACAATTGCACTATCCTTATTCATTACGTCCCAAACACAGTATACAAGCACTCAGTTGATTTGGATTCGGGACTGTTAGCATGAAGGAACTTCATTGATCCTTATTCATAAGAACTGTTAGCATGAAGGAACATCATTGATCCAATGTCAATAGAAAATATCAGCAAGCAGTACCAACAATTAAGTCTGAAATCTAAGAGAAGATGCAGTACCCTAACTGTAGCTGTAAATACTAACCTTCAAATTGGTTGGGTCCCAATCAAGGTTCTACGGTTCTTAATAATACAATAATAGGGTCTTGTCTTGTTTGTGTCCCAATCAAGGTTCTGCATTAGAAGTTCTAGAGTTATGACCTACAATGATATTGCAAGAAACAACAACGAATGAGAGGTGCAAGAAAATTGGTACCTCCTCGTTGCCAAGAGCAACAGGCTCGAACTGCAGTATCTGACCAACTCAGACTACATATTGGAGAATGCCTATCGATGGAGTCCCTTATGCTTCTGAAAACCAACACAAAGGCCAAATCAAAACGCTGTGATCACTTCCGGTCCAAATATATGCAGACACAGTAAATTACATAAATAAGACAGTAGTCAGTAACCTCACTGATGGGTTTAAATTGGAGCCAAATCTAGAACAACAATTAATAGTGATACTCTAGTTGCACTTGTAGGTGAACCTAGAACACAAATTAACAGTAATTTAGGAATCAAGTACCAGATACTGACTAGATGAAAACAAATATAGGTGAGGATTCAAACCTCGGGACTCGTTGATCACTGGAACAGCTAGCTCGTCCTGGGCCTCCTAGCGGCACCACCTCATGGACACCTGGAGAAAGGAAAATTGAGACCACAAAACTAGGAGGCAGTACACAACAATCGACATGAAAAATGAAATGTATCTTCAACAAAGAGATGTACATCATAGCACTCAGTTTATTTGGATTCGGGAAAAAAAACAGCACACAAAGCTCAGGCCACAGGCCACATTACATCGATGTAACTTAAACAAACACTCAGCACTTCAAAAAAACTATAGGACATGAACTGAAAGCAAACGATACAAGAAGCCACTGAAATGGCCTCGCTGGTGCCCAGCCTTTTGACTACTTGTTCTCCCACTCGAAGTTGATCCAAAACTCGCGTCCCTCTAGGGTTTTCATGCTAAGGAATGCCGTCCGATTTAGTTTGTTCTTGCAAAGATGTATTGCTTTGCAGTAGACAGCTGTCCCCTCGTGGATACCATCTTCCTCTAGAATCCTTATCACATGGTGCAGCTCATCTTGGTCCTGCAAGGTTTCTTTTTTACCCTCTCGCATGGCTACTACTGTTTCTTTGATTTCTCGCATGCAGTCATCCAAGCTGGAAGTACTCTGCTTTTTGCGAGGGCTGTCCACAACTATGTCCCTGGCTGGCCTCTTGGAGGACTGGCCTACACTGGAGCCACCAATGTGGTCCTATGACATCTCAAGTGGAGTGCCATCCGATGCAAGAGTGGGTGTTCGCTCACGGACACCACCTGCCCATATTAGTGTCCCTTTGTATTGTGGGGTGTGGCCATAGAGAACTACGAGTTTGTCAAGGAATGGTGGTGGGTCGCCAGAATTCTTGGAGCCTTCACTGGCATCCTGCATGCACACAAGGTAAACATGTTAGAAATCACTAGGTCCAGAATGTATGCATTATGGCATTGAAGGACGAACAAGGAAACATATGGTGCACGCACGAACCGGGTCGTTCTGCCAGTAGCCTTCAGGAGCAGAAACGCCCCAGTGTGCTTGTTGTGGCCAAGGGCGCTGCTGGTTTGGGCCTTGAGCCAGTCCATGTACTTCCCTTTCAATGCGTTAACTTTGTTCTGGACCTGCTTGTTGTCATACATAGGACCTATGTGATCTGATAACCGGCGATACATGTTATTCCATCCCAGATTAGTTAACCCCATTTGATTCCAGTGTAGAAGGTTCTTCTGTTCAATGCATAGGTCCAGCAAATAGCTCGTCCTGTCATCGTTCCAATGGGCACGATTGTTGGACATCTGTTCCCAGTTTTACAAGATATGATTTGGTATATGCGGTACATATATGGTACATACAAGGTATGGCACAACACACGGGCAACAAAAAAACACTGGTGGATGAGCAAGTAAAAAGCAGGAAACTTGCCTTGTGAGATCGCTTGGCGCGTTTGGCATGCAGGTTGTACATCCTGGCTTCTGGTGGAGAGTAGGAAGAAGAGTAAGACCGTGCCAGTGTGGGCACCGTTGAGGAGCACTACCTCTAGCCAACTATTGTGCTGCAGAAAACGTGGAAACCATAGTGTTAGTTCATATTACCGACATCTAGTGAAACCCTAAACCCAAATGTCAAGGCATTGGAGGCAACGTAAGCGGCGGCGACGGTGAACAGGAGTAGCAGGAGGAGGACGAGCGGGTTGGATCTAGAGGGCGGGCTGCCTTGATAGTGCCGTGGCCTATCCACGGTCGCTGGGGGCTGATGTAGCAGGGGCTCGACGGCGTGCAACTCCGGTGGGGGAACGGCGACGGCTGTGGTTCCACGGCCGGACGACACCATCGGGCTCGGATCCGGAGCAAGCGTTCGTAGGATGGGCATGGTGTACTGGGGCGAGGGCGGGACGGCGGCGAGGGGATAGGGACTCACGGCGGCCGTGGCTCGCGCCGAGAGCATGCAAGCGGCGGCGAGCTCGAGTAAACCCTAGAGGTGCGGAGCATGAAAAGGGAATGAGAGAGGGAAAGCCGGCCGGGCGGGGTGGGGGGGTGGGGGGGGTGGGGCTTTTACGCCAACCGAACCGAACGGCTGCTGTTGGGCTGCCGAACGGCTGGGCTGATCAGCCCAAGCAAAAGCAGCCCATCAGCCAGCACCACAGCAACTGAACACGACCATGGACAGATCCCCCCACCCAACTAGTGCTAGCTCATGTTGGATCCTATTTTGATAATTTTTTTCTCAGTTGGTTCAGTTAGTCAGATCAGATTTTAGAAGCAAACCATAGAGTTTTTTCTACTAGAAATGAGGATTGAGGAGTAGAAAAATTGGCTGATTTGAGAAAGATGTCCGGTAAAAAAAAATCTGATTTCTAATAATTTAATCATGGCTGCTTGTAATTTACTCAATATCTACTTTAGTGTTTAATTATGTTGTCTAATTTGATAGGAAATCAAAGAACATTGGAGCGATTAAAAGGAAAATTCCTGAAGCTGGTGATAATCAGACTCCTCAAACTTGTGCTAATTCTTCCACTAGTAGAGAACAAACTTTCGGTTTTTGGTTTTAGTCCCGACCGAAATTTGGCCTGGAAGTAATAGGAGATTTAGTCTCGGTTGGAACCACCAACTAGGACTAGAATTCTCTGCCCAACAGATAGTGCAGCAGGCTTTTGCAGCAAGCAAGGACTTTAATCCCGATTTGTGGTTCAAACCGGAATTAAAGGTTGCCTTTCAATCCTGGTTGAAATCACCACAACCATATTTAATAAGGACAAATAGGGAAAAATATACCCCAATTAATCACTTCATAGTATGTTAAATGCTGTCCTAAACGAATTTCTTTACCAGTATGGAGGGAGTACAAGTTTCTAGCCCATAAAGTTCGTTTTGTCTATAAAACATAAAAAACAAAACAAAACAATACACTTATTGTTTGAATCCTTGAAATTGAATTCATTCTAATAATTACAATTTAGACATAGATTAATTAAGCTAATATAGTAGTATATGGAATATAATTGTATATTTATTGTTAGGCATACAAAGGACATACTTATTGAAGTTTAATTTGATTTTCACAAGGGAAATCCACAGAGTCGAAGTGTAATAAGACCGTTGTAGATCATATTACCCAAATTCCAGTCGAATATCACATCCATACAACGATAATATCAGAGTACAAATAGTGCATAATTACATAAATTATTACATCGCCGCATTGGCGGAATCAAAAGTAGCATTCATTCAGAACAGCTTGAAGATAAGATCGCCAAACTTGAGCGTAGGAATGAACCCCTCAATCGTCAAACTCCTCGGAGCTATACTCCTTAGCAGAACCTGTGTGCCAAAATTTATCAGTACGATTTGTACTGGCCACTCCCACACTATGAGCATTGCTTTGTGGAAATTGGATGCAAGTTGGATATAATCAAAAGGAACCTAATAG